CTGCTTCCAAGCTTGTTTTAATCGGGGAGCTCCACCACACACTGTCCACCATGGGTAAACATTAATGCATTTGACACATCAGTGTCACAGTGTTCAGCTTCATAGCAACCACAAATTACCTCTGTATGGCAAATGGACACACCAGGGCTATATGACCTAGAAGAATGTTTTAAATGTTTTAAACAATTAAAAACAGGCCTGAGGGCCATGGATTAAAGTCACCCACCTTTGGCTTGGTAGCATCACTTTCTGTCCATTAGGCCAACTGATCTCTCTCTATGTTGTTGTTATCGTTAAGTGCCAACAAGTCATAGGCGACTCATAGTGACCCTATGAATGAAAGTCCTCAACATTTGTGTGACTTTCATTCTTTCTCTAGGTTCATAGGGTTTCTGGAGGCAAGCTATTACAGAAGTGCATGCCACACCTGCTTCCAAGTTTGTTTTAATCGGAGAGCTCCACCAAACACTGTCCACCACGGGTAACCATTATTGCATTTGACACATCAGTGTCAGTGTTCAGCTTCACAGCTTGGAATCTAAAATAAGTCCAGTATGGGATTAAAATTCAATGTCAAGAAAACAAAGATTCTCACCACTGGGCCAATTGGCAGCATCTTACTGATGGTGAAGAGATTGAGATAGTTAACAGTTTTAGTTTGCTTGGCTCCACAGTCAACACTCTTGGTACCAGCAGCCAGGAAATCAGGAGACAAATTGCACTGGGAAAGTCAACTGTCAGGGACCTCTCCAGAGTACTAAAGAGCAACAACATCAGGCTGAAGACTAAGGTGCACCTGATCTGGGCTATAGTCTTCACAATTGTGTGCTATATATTGGAGAGCTGGACAGTGACTAGAGATGATAGATAATTGATGCCTTTGAGCTGTGGTGCTGGAGAAGAGTGTTGACTATACCATGGACTGCTAGAGAACAAACAGGTTTGTCCTGGAGAGAGTGAAGCCAGGCTGCTCCTTGGAGTCAAGGATTCTGAAGCTTCATCTGACATACTTTGGCATGTTGCAAGGAGGGACCAGTCCTTGGAGAGGGACATCATGTTTGGGAGAGTGGAGGGACAGCGCAGGAGAGGAAGACCTTCGATGAGATGGATTGATTCTGTGATTGGGGAAGTGGCAATAGGTGTGTCAGGGACAATGAGGTTGGCACAGGATAAGCAGGGTTTAGGACTCTTGTACATAGGTTTGCTATGAGTCGCAAGCAACTTAACAACACATAACAACAACATGGGGATGAAAGTCATTAAGGGAAATAGTAACCCTATAACTTATCTTTTAATAAGATGATCTTTGAATAACCCTATAACATGATGCTTTTGAATTATAGGGCTGGAAAGATTACTGAATATCCTATGAACAAATACCAAAAGGACAAACAAGTCTGTCTTGGAGGAAGTGTAACCAGGGTGCTCCTCAGAGGTAAGGGTGGTGATCACGTACTTTGGGCAAGTTTTTCCTTGAAAAAAGGATTTTTTGGAAAGGTGGAGGGTCAGAGAGAGGAAGTCTCTCAACAAAATTGGCACAGTGACTGTAATGGCACAAGATAGGACAAGGTTCAGTTCTGTTGTTCTTAGGGTCGCTGTAAGTCATAATTGACTTGATGCCACCTAACAACCACAGAACTTGTCTGATACTGTGTCAGAAAACTCTAATCCAGGGAGTTCACTGTTCGTGGCACCACCAAAATTAGCTGGACTTGAAATCTCAGCATCCTCTTTGACTCCTTGCATCCCTTCTATTCCCACCACTGTTATTAACTTTAAACTACAGAAGCTTTCTAACTAAAGTCCGAACACCTTACTTTGGAATTTGAAGCCCAATATGATGTGGTCCAACCAACTTTACAGTTTTCCCCTTTCACAATGTGGCCACGTTTCTAATTTCCACAACATGTTCTACTCTTGTCCCTCCTATGCCTTTGCACCGTCTGGTCCCTGGCATCTCCACTAGTCTAGATCTGCACTGTCCAAGAGTGAGCTGTTATCCAAGATGGACTGACACCGTGCCTAATGATGGGCTCAAGAAGGGCAGAGATCATGAAGATTATGAGGATAGGGAGGCCAAGGCTCTGCCCTTTTGTTCATAGGGTCATTTTGAGTCACAGTTTAAATCAATGGCACATAACCACAACCATCTCTGTGTGACTGCTTTAGCACTGGAAATGTTACTAGTCTATGGAGAGAAAGGCTGTCAATACAAAATAGCAGATTTCTTTTCTTTTTTTTTTTACTGTCTCATACTTTCATAACAGAAATACCTTAAGTACACATCTTTAACAAACATGCATGTGTTCTCTCACAGCTTAGGAAGCTACAGGTCTAAATTCAGGGTGCCAGAGTTAGAGGAAGGGTTTGTCTTTCTGCTGGCTCTGGAGAAAGATCCTCACCTCCTACCAACATCTGTGAGCCCAGTGTTCACTGAAGGCCTCTGCGTCTGCTGGTATCGATCTTCTCTGGGCCTAAAATAGCAGATTTCAGAGAGCTGGTGGGAAAACTGTAAAGCCACAGTAATTTTAAATTTTGATTATATTTTGAAATTATAGTTTTAATGTTGTTGTTAAGTGTCATTGAGTCATTTGCGACTCAGTGATATATGCTAGGTGAAATGCAATATATTTAAATTATTTTCACCTGTTTTTCTTTTTTAAAAGAAAATTTTATATTACATCTGTAGCTCTCATTATCATTTATTTGGACAGTGCTGACCTGTATCATCTTCTCTTCAATATTTATCTCAATTTCCATCCCTTTTTCCTTGAAGGTTCTCTGATTTAACCCATGATTAAAAATAATCCTCCTGGGTGAGCTCTGGTGGCCTAGTAGCAAGAAGTTGCACTGCAATCTCAGAGATACACGGTTCGAATCCACCAGATGCTCTGCTGGAGAAGGAGGAACAATCTCCTCCTGTATCAGTCAGATCTGATTTGACGGTACACACAAAAAATAATGAAATAAAATAAAATTTAAAAAAATATCCTCCTGATTTAAAAAAAAATACTCTTAATTGTACCTCTCTTCAGTCACACTGTTGTTGTTAGGTGCCATCAAGTCAGATATGACACATTGCAACCCTGTAAACAACAGACCTGAACCCTGTCCTTCCCCGTGTCATCCTCACCATCTCGGACACACTCAAGCCCATTGCTGCAGTCACTGTGTCAATCTGTCTAGTTGAGGGTCTTCATCTCTTTTGCCAACCCTCCACTTTTCCAAGGATGATGTTCCTCTCCAAGGAATAGCCTCTTCTAGCCACATACCCAAAGCATACGAGACGAAGCTTTATTACCTTTGCCTCCAAAGGAGCACTCTGACGTCACCTTCTCCAATGCATATCTGTTTGTTTTTTTAGCAGTCCATGCAATGTCCGTTACTCATCTCCAATACCACAGTTCAAAGGTATTAATTCTTCTGTCATCCTTAGTCATTGTCCAGGTCTCAATCACATGGTACCTTCCATCTTGAGTTATAATTATTAATGTAATTTATGAGTATAAACTGTTAAAGGTACTATTTATGTGGAATTAACACTCTTTCACCAGCTGGTGATCTTGCTTTTTAACAATCAACTTGGATATGAATTGGGGTTGGGTGAGGATAGTACACGTATATGAAGTTTGAAAGCAATATTATCACAAAAAAATCCAAGTTTCCAAAATGCAAACCACAGAAGGATTGACAAGCTCTTCACTGAAGTAGACAGGACAAACAGGCATTTTCTTGTATGGATGTATCGGAATCTCTGAGAGGGCAGAAGAGTTTTAAGTTATCTGAAGAAACATGTGTTTCAAATTATAAAAACACAGTCCTAAAAGGCACCACACTGTAGTCATCTTACAGCAACAAACAGCATAGACTCAGTTTAGCACTTAACTGATGTATACTCTTGAGCTGTGGGTGGGTGGCAGAAAATAACAAAGATAAAGAAAACATCCCTTACCTTCTGAAGGCTCACAGTCTGTGAGCAAGGCTCAGGCAACTGTTTATTCATTTCATATTTATATCCCACTCTGTTCTAAAAAGGGATTAGGACTGGCTCACACTTAATCAGAAATACCTTGACTACAAGGGAGATGATGACATATGCACAAAAAAGGAGAATAAGGAATACAGTTTCCATTCTAGTTTTAAGACTGGAAAAACTTTCAAGTCAAATAGATAGGGCTTGAGGATGAAGGAAGGGTGGAGAGATAGGGCTGAATTTATTCCATTTAGCTTCATTCCTATGTGTGAGATAAATCACCCAGTCAGAATTAGAAAATCTTGCTATGGAACAAGAACTATCTGGGTTAGTCAGAGTAGGGTTCAAATTATCCTACTGACCCTCAAGTTTCCTCATCTATAGAAAAATAAAACACTTGGTCTACAGAATTAATGTAGGGATCAATTGTGAGTGTGTGTGTGTGTGTGTGTGTGTGTGTGTGTGTGTGTAAACTAAAAAAAAAAAAGTGTACGCTAAAATAGTTCCAATAATTTTCAACCCCAAGTACAGGACCTAAGGGAGCTCACAGATAGTCTTTAGCTGTATTCAAATCCACCAGCTCTTCTGAGAAAGAAAGATGGACAGTCTCCCATGACATTTTCTGACTCTAAAAACCCACTAGAGGGTCAAGTTATAAGTTGGTTGTGACTTGATGGCAATGAAGAACATTAACTCGGGCTATCAGGTCCTTGGAGAGGGACATCATGCTTGGCAGGGTGGAGGGACAGCGCAGAAGGGAAGGCCCCCTATGAGGTGGATTGATTCAGTGACTGGGGTAATCGGGATGGGTGTGTCAGAGACGGTATGACTGGCACAAGACAGAGCAGAGTTTAGGGCTGTTGTACATAGGGTCGCTATGAGTCACAAGAGACTCGACGGCACATAACAACAACAACAACATCCTGAGGTGAAAGAAAATAGTGGAAGGCCTCAAGGAATAAGCTCTTCCTACATTTAATGGTTTCTTTCACACCCCAAAGGCCACCTTTCCATTCCCCAAGCCTACCCTGTACTGTTGCACCTCCTCATCTCGTTTTTGCCTCACAAGTGCCATCTGGTCCTCCAGGTTCCTGTTCTGCAGGTGGAGCTGCTGGGCTTCGGCTTGCAGTGGTCTCAGAGCCTCCTTCATCTCCTGGATCTCTACCTGCGTTTTCTGCAGAGCTTTGGCCCCAGCTTCTTTCCTCTCGAGGAGGCGCAGCAGCTGGGGCTCATATTCTTCCTCTAGGCCCTGGCGGCTTTCTGCCATGAGGTTCTCAAACTGGGCAGAGAGCCGTCGGCTCTCCTGAAGAAAGTGCCCATCCCTCTGGCTTGGGGGTGCTTCAAGTTGTTGCCGCAGCTGCTCTTTCTGCTTCTGATAGGCCTCCTTGGCCTGGGCCAACTCTTCTGAGAGCTGGGATGCCCGTGTAGTCAATGCTTCCCGGAAATTGGCAAACTGGGCCACATCCTGCTGGTGACATTCCAGCTGGTATTGGTAGGCCACACATTCCTTGGTTACTTTGAACAGCTTCTGCTTGATCAGCCGGATCTCCTCCCTCAGCCCATCGCGCTCCAGCTCCACTTGTGCATGCAGTTTATAGGCAGCCAGGATGTCCTGATGGACTTGCTGCACCTCCTGTAAGGCCGGTTCCCGGAGCAACACAAGCTCATGGATGAGCTGATCCCTCTCTTCTTCCAGCTGGGCCACAGCTTGAACACATTGCTGGAAACGTCCCTCAAGCAATTTCAGGTCCTCTATGCTCAGGGCCTCCTCTGTGCTGGGGCTGGGCCCAGCTCCGAGGCTCACCTCAGGATTCAAGTTCTCCTCCCTTGTAATGGTCTCTCCCACGTGTTCAATTTGCTCTGGGCTTATGACACTTGCTGAATTCGCAGGCTCTTCCACAAACTGTATCTCATCTGGCTTCCCTGTCTCTTCCACCTTAAGTGTCTCCTCTGGCTTCATGGGCTCTTCCACAAAGGGTGCCTCATCTGGCTGCATAGTCTCCTCAATATACAGCATGTCCTCTGTCTTCCCAGGCTCTTCCTCAAACAGTGTCTCATCAAAGTCACCTGTGTCTCCCAAATAGAGAATGTCCTCTAGGTTCAAGGTCCCCTCCAATAACAGTGTAGACCCTGATTTCAAGGTCTCTGCCTCATTTGAGGATTTGGAATTCTCTTCCTGAAGAGGAGACAGGGCCTCTGTTTTTGTTTCCCTGCAAGAGAAATGATGTAAAGTCAGGACAACCCTGATCCCAGGCTGGATAATAATTGGACTCCACAGTCACAGGTGACCAGGCTGCTTCCTTATGTCCCTCCACACAGTCTCCGCTGAGGTCCCCGGACAAAATCCCCATAGTCTCAACAGTTGCTAGTTCTTTCAAGGACAGAAAACTCACACTTGAGGCACCATTACTCGAGTCTCTCTCATATAAAGACCTGTAGTTTCTACGTGCCATTTTGAATTCTTCCTTTTAAAATCAGACAAATTTAGCATCTTTCCCATGTACATTTTCAATATAAAACTTCGAGATAACTAACTTAACTTGGTTTTAGATTATTCCATCCTTGCCATATCCTCATTGGGATTACTTCTTTCAATCAGACTCCAGATTGCCATTCATTGCCCCTTGAGAATGGGTATTGAAAACAATATACCAAGTTTACCCTGAGCAATGAAGTCTCTGGGAACTTGTGATTAGGTGCTGTCCAAATTCCTTTAGCAGATAGGATAGGTCCAGCACAGGCTTGATCCTGAGTTTGACTAAACGCCTTTGAACATTTTCACACCAAGTGCCTTGAAGCTCAATCTTCTGAGCTTCTAAAACTCCACCTTGTTAGAATTAGCCAGTTCTTCTAACGTACCGAGGGAGCTCTCATGGTGTTGTATGTAGGGGTTGTGTGCCTAGCTGGACATTTGAACCCACTAGCGACTGCATGACAGAAAGTTGTGCAATCTCCTCCTGTGCGATTTACAGCCTTGGAAATCTATTGAGAGTCAGCTATGAGTTAGTTCCAACCTGACAGCAATGAGGTGTTTTGGCGGATTCCCCCCGCCGCCCTCATTTTCTAGCCTATCAAAGACAATTCAAATTAATATTCTGCAACTCCAACTAAGGAGTTCTTTGACTCAGCTACCTGTCAGACTACTCAACTCCTGCTGGGTATATGCACTCTCTTGTTTTGATGACCCTTAACCAGCTTCAGCATTGGATCTCTGAGCAATGCTTTAAAAATCTAAAATACCATAGAAATAATAATTATGAAGCACTAACTATGTGCCAGATACAATTCTAAATGCTTTATCTCAACTCATTTAATTCTTTATTACACATAACAGCTCCATATTTTAAAAAAATTTAATAGCTCCATTTTACAGATCAGGAAATCAAGGCTAAGAGAGATTAGATAATTTTTTCAAGGAAATTAAGTTAGTGGGTGCTAGTTATAAAACAGATTTATAACTTGTAATTTTGAGTGTTGTTTCTAAGTAACTTTTCATCTTGAAAATATAAAGTGTAAATGAAAAGCCCACATGGTAAAAAATTTTATTATTTGTCTTAAAAAGGTTTATCTTAAGTCCCAATAAAGTCTGTTTTATTCTAAATGATTGTATACTCTGTCCTCATCTCTAATACCTCAGGAATCCTTGTCTTCCTTTTCTGGATCTAGGTAAGGTTGGCCATCTAGAAACCAAAAAGGTCTCATTACAGCCCTCATTCAACCCCACAGCTGAACGATCACCTTATCCCTTCACCTCATTTAACCAGAAAGGAACCAATTGTTAGATATCTTTATCTCTTGTCATTTGGCACCTCAAACTCAGCTACCAAATTATCCTCAATCCTCCTTGCTCCCAGCCTGGCTACAGCTGTATTCTTTAGCTTAGAGGAATGCATTGCCATATACCTGCTACCCAAGCAAGAAGCCTTTTGACAGATCTTTTCGCTCCCTCATAGAACCAATGCACTACGAACTGATCTCAAAACCTCCAATCTCCACTCCCCTCATCTCCACTTCACTGCCTAGTCCATGAAAACATTGTCATCTGTCATCTCTCACCTGGATCCTTGCACCAGCCTTCTGTCCGGTCTTCCTGCCTCGTTGTCTTCCTTCTCCCCACCCAGGTCTGCTCTCTGTGGTTAGTCTGCTAACTGGAACCGTCTGATTCCTGGCAAACCCCCATGTGTTGCAAGTTACAACAGCTCCATAGAACTTTCCTGTCTGTAATCTTTTACAGAAGCAGATCACAAGGCCTATCTTTTGGGGTGCCATTCAAACAAACAAAAATGAACTTAAACTCATTATCATTGAGTTGGAACTGACTCATAGCTGACTCCTCAGTGGAGTTTTGGAGGCTGTGAATTGCACAGGAGTTTGCCCATCTCCTGAGGAACCACTGGTGAATTTCAATCCCCAGAGAAGTGTAGTCTTTGGGACAGCCATGCAACTTCCTACAGACAAAGCCACCAGAGCTTAGTGGCACCTTTCAGTGGGTGGTTTCAAATCATCAACCATTCAGCTAGTAGTCAAAAGCAAACAATAAATCACATTGCTCTTCATCCATAGATGGCCAACTGCTTAGCACAGACTCAAGACCCTTAAAGATATGGTCCCAACATGCGTTTTTAGCCTCTTACATTACCCTCTGCAGTCACCCAATGTTTGGCAATCCAAAATATGCATTAACTTTTTACAGTTCCTACTTTAAGTCCATAGTGTTATATCTGAAGGATCTAGCTTAGAAATGTAACTATATCCCCTGACAAGACAGCAGTCTCGCACTACCTGTGCATGTAAAACTTCTAATGCCAGGGAGAAGGCATTTGTCCACCATGATACTCAGCAGAAGCCCTGCTTTCCCAGCAGACAGCACTCTACCTAGGGATGAATTACTGTGTGCAAAGCACTCTCTCTTAAACATTTTATATGAACATTTAATTAGATAATAAACCAAGAAACCATGAAACTGGTATTAATACATAGTGACCCCTCGTTTCAGAGTAGATCTGTGTTCTGTAGGGTCTTCAGTGGTTGTGACTTTTCAGAAGTAGGATGGCAGACCTTTCTTCTGAGGCATCTCTCTGTGTAGATTTGAATTGCCAATCTTTCATTTAGTGATGGCGGGCTTAACTTTTTGTACTATGCAGAGACATATTCTATGTTTAGAATACTAATTTGTTACACAGTATTTTATACACGAGGAGACCAAAGCACAGATTAACGCATTCACTCAAGACAAGGTCCTGCAACAATGAATGACTGGAAACCCTAAGTCTCTGTAAACTTTCATTAAAATTAATAAAAAATTTAAAAAAGACAAGGTCCACAACTGGAGCTCTTATCACACTAGGTTGTCTCTCTTATGAATAAGATCTAAGTGGGGTAAAATATCTACAACACTTGTAACAGTATTCAAAAGATATATCCACCTACCCACCTAACAGATTTCTACTCATCCTTCAAACTCCATCTCCTCTGTGAGCTATTTCCTACAAACTCCTCCATGCATTCTTATGGCACTTTGTATGCAGCTTGACTTCACACTTTGTGCACTCTGCTACAGATGTGTATGTGTTTGACTCCTCAGTGAATTTCTTAAGGACAAGTGTAGTTCTCATTTTGCTCCAGTTCCCAGGGTGGGGCTCTGTAGAAGATAGGCTGATGGAAACTGACTGAGCTCCAAGGAGGAAATGTGCCCAAGGTCGAGTGGCAGAGCTGGAAGTAGAACTCAGGCCTCCTGACCTGCAGGCAGTGTTGTTATCAATCACACACTAGGTTGCCTCAGTCACCATCCACAGTGCCAGGCCTTCTGCTAGCCAGCCTCTGTCCTAACATGGCCCTCTCCCTCTAAGAAGCTAGGGAAAGAAGCTGATTATAGCAGGTCTAGGGGAGAAGGCAAGAGCTGAGGGTGGGGTAGGGGAAGGAGGTGGGGAGTTTAGACCTCAGGCAGTGTGCCTCTAAAGCTGTTCCTGTCCCTAGTGTACTCACTCCTTCAGCTCCCCACGCTGTCCTTTAAGGCTGAGACTGCGACTCTTTGTACCACTGAGAAGGCGCACCTGGGACTCTGTATGCATGTGCCACAGTCCCACTGAGTGTCTGTGTGTAAGGCTGTGTGCTGAGAGAGAGAGAGAGAGAGAGAGAGAGAGAGAGAGAGTGAGTGTGAGAGTGTGTGTTTGTCAGGGAGTGTATTTATACCTCTGCCTCTTACGACAATGAAAGCTCCAGGCACACTGACCTGAGGCAGAAAAACTCCTCCCTCATCCCAAACCTTTCAGCCACAGGTCCCTCCCCTCAGACCAGCCATAAGCTGAGAGTGCAGGTGCCTCCTGCAGAGGGACTTCCCTGAATGCAGAGCCCCTGCCCAGTCAGGGTCCCCCTGCCCATCTGTGATGGTAGATCCTCCCCTGACCTTAGGCCCTGATAGGAGGGAGCAAGCTGCCTGAACAGACTCTTAACATCAAGTTGGCCCAGGCCCAACCTTGCACCAAGTAGCTTCCACGCGAGAATCTATCCATCACAGTGGACATTTGAGAAGATAGGGAAGAAGGAAAACGAAATTGTTTAGACCACTATGTGTTAGTTGATGCCCACTGATCTGAAAGGGTTAAATCTCACACAGTCCAGAGAAGGCAGAAGCTATTCATTCTAAATAGCTTCTAAAAGAGGTGCCAGGACCCCAGACCTAGATACCCTCATCTCCGATTACTGGAATGGCTCCGCCCTGTGCCCCAGCCTGGCTAGACCCCTACCCCGCAGCCAGCCGCATGGTGGAAGGGAATCTGTCCAGCGCCCCTTCCCCAAAGGGGCGGCGACACCGGCCTGGACGGTCCTACCTCACAGCCTGGGCGGCGCCGTCCCCGCCGCACCGGGGCTCCGGGCTGGCCATGGCTGCGCGACCCCGGGGCTCCGCGGCCGCGTTATTAATAGCCGCCCGCCGGCCGCTCGCTCCGGCGCCCGCCCGCCGCACTGTCAGCTGCAGCCGACACCGGATCCCGGCCGGCCGCCCGGGCGCACCCACTTGGCCCCGACTCCAGCTGCAGGAGGAGGGAGCGGGCCCCACGGCCTGGGGGGGGGGCGGGGGAGGCTGCCCCTCCTGGGACCAGCCCAGGGTGGGGGTGGGGGCGGTAGAGCTGCCTTTTCTAAACCAACCAGCCTTGAGATCTTTCAGAACCTTCTCTCCCCGCCCAGGGTCCCGGCCTGGGGGGTGGGGGGTCAAGAGGAAGACTCTGCACCCCTAACCGAGCTCCTTCTCCTGTCTGGCCAGGACTCCACGCAGGATTTGAGGGACAAGGAAGGAACCAGCACCCTATCCTAAAAGTGTTCGGAATGTCAGCCGCAGCTTGGCACCCTCTGAACCCCCACACAGTGGGGAGCCCAGTTCCCGGGACGCCGTGCCCGCAACTGCCGTGAAGGGGTGGGGCAGGGTGTGGAGGCAGGAGGAGATCTCGCGGCCACACCCCGCGTTCAGGGGCCGAGGACTGATGACCAGTTAGATGAGGGAAAATTGCTCGGAAGGAATTTGAACCTGTCCGGTTGAGCCCGCCCTGCAAGGTTTACCACCCAATACCCTATCCACCTCTGTTTTCTGTCAATCCCTACTTCTGTCCCCCCCCCCCGCCCCAAAACCTCGGTCAAGACCGTCAGTGTCAGGCTCAGACACCCACACTGAAGTCGTCCTCTCCCGAAGAGACACCCCGGGGCGAGGGGCCCTTCCTGGTGGGTCTCAGGCATCCTCCCTTCTGATTCCTTTTTTCCACTCGGCCCCTCTTGTCTGAGGAGGTCTTGACTCAGTCGCAGAGGAATGCGCTGCACTGTAACAAACCAGAGGGGCCGGAGCTGTGGATGGGGAGGGTGGTGCTGTGACTGGGTGGTGTGTGTTGGGTGGCCTTGTGTGACGATCACTGTGCCCACAGTGGGCCATGTGAACGAATGGTCACGGCTGTGTGTGTGCTGTGTGCCCATGTGTGGCTGTGTGCTACCTGGGTGTGCATATCTGTGTGTGGACGTGTGTTATGGTATGAACAGGAGGTGAGCGATTATGTGTCCTCAGATCATAGTGCCTCATGTGGAGCGTCTATGAATGTTGTGAACACATTTATGTGATGTGTGATTGTGTGATCACAGAATTAATGTGTGTTAGTGGATATGCCACATGTGTGTGCTTGTATGTGAGTGACTGGGGGCTGTTAAGTGTAATATGGGGCTAGAGGTTCACAAGCAGGCATCTTTCCCCCCATAAGAGTGAGTGGGGGCCTGTGTAAGGAGTTCATTAATCTGCATGCTCACATCTGAGTATGCCACCCGTGGTTGTATATTTATATATCTCTTGCTAATGCAAGGGGGTGGGGAGGGGATTAACACCGAGGCCATCAAATACACCCTTGTAAGGTATGAATGAGAAAAAGCTGGGTTTTGGAGGCTGCTGGTCCTTTTCTGACTTACCCCTGAAATATTCCAGGGGAGGAGGCTGGCAAAGCCTCAGCTGCTGCTCACTTGACAGCTGCTGCCAGTCAGAGGGGAGCTGGGAGGGGGTGTAGGGCAAGGCCTGCCAGCGGCCTGTTTGCTGCAGCCGGGCGCTAGGCAACAGGCTGCAGTGGAAGCATACAGGGTAGGATCATCCTCCCCTCTTCAGCCCCCAGCCCAGGAGCTGGGCCTGGGCAACCCCCCCAAGACTGAGTTTCTCAACCTCTTCTGGCCGCAGGAGTGGCATCCACGTCCTAAACAACATGCCTCTGGAAACTCTATGAACTTTGATAAATGTCGATAGTTGTAAAGGGGCTTCAGGCCTTTTGTTTATAGGGTCGCTATGAGTCATGCTTGGCTCAAAGGCAATCAAAAACAACAAACCTTTCTTTAGGCCGAAATGTTGAATCCTCAAAACCAAGTATCACCAACTCAATCTCCTGGCGACCCCACAAAGGTCAGCAGATCTGTTCATGGGCTTGTTGGGTTTTTCCCCCTCCATAGGATTTTTGGTGGTTGATTTTGTCAGAAGTAGATTGCCAGGTCTTTCTTTCAAGATACCTGACTGAACTCCAACATTTAGGTTCAGGCCTTTGTTTTTCTGTTCCCTCTGCCTAGATCACCTTTCCAGGTCTTTATATCTCCTTTCCTTACTTTAACCCTTCAGGTCTTGGTTCAAATGTTTTTTTTAAGCAAGGCCTTCCCTGATGCCTCCATAAAGTAAATGTCACTGCTTGTCCTCCCTGTTCATTTTATTACCAGCAATAATGTTGCTTATTTTAAATTCCTTCCTTCTCTGCTTTCCCTAGGAGCTCCATAAAGGCAGGGACTTTGCATGTCATTTTCACTGCTGTGTCGCTAGGGTTTAACACGGGACCTGGAATGCAGTGCCCCTCCCTCTAAAAAAAGAAACAAACTCATTGCCCTTGAGTCAGTTCTTACTTATAGGACAGATGGAGCTATCTCATAAAGTTCCCAAGGTTGGAAATACAGTTTCAATTTTTTCTTGTGATTTGGGTGAAAGTTTACAGAGCAAATTGGTTTTTCATTCAACAAGTCCTGCACATTGCTTTTTGTGACATTGATTACAATTCCCACTTTAAAACAACTCTCTCCCCACTTTCTTCCTGTGTTTCTGATTTTCATTCCTACTCCTTCCTGTCTTCTGTGTTTTACCTCTGCATAAATGTTACCCTTTTTGTCTTGTATTGTTCTAAGACGTGTATTCTTCCTTGATGTTGTGAGTCACCTTACAGTCCTGCCAATTTGGGGCTAGGGAGCTCTGGTGGTCTGTTGTTAAGGAGTTGTGCTGCCAGCCCCAAAGCACATGGTTCAAATCCACCAGCAGCTCCATGTGAGAAAGATGAGTAGTTTCCTCTCATGTGTTTTACAGCCTCTGAAAACCTGCTGGAGGGTCAGCTATGAGTCAGGTTCCCACTCAGTAGCACATGAAAACAAACAATGACACTGACTGGAAGTTGAGTCACAGAAAAGGAAACCTTGAAACAATTTATTGAGTTGCTTTATACAAGATTAGCAACTTGCACACTGCTCCTGACACCACTATCACCTGCAGTACCACAGCCCCTCTCACACCTCTGAAGCTGCAGCCCTGGTGAAGCCCCAGGGCCCATAGGCCTGCACGGCCCTGCCGTGGCTGCTCACATCACTCACTCTAAGGCTAGAAATCTTGATGGAATCAGACAGCCCCACCCTTCTCCTGAGAAGTAGCTGGTGGCTTGGAACCACCAACCTTTCTGTTAGCTGCTGAGAGTTTAGGCACTGTGCCTCCCTTTTGGAACATGGTAGTGGTGTTATGTACTCATTATGGCATGGTTGTTGTTAAGTGTTGTTAAGTCGACTCATAGACACCCTATGAATAGCAGACCTGAGCCCTGTCCTATCTTGTGCCAACCTCATCATGTCTGACACACTTTAGCCCATTGCGACAGCCCCAGTGTCAATCCAGCTGGTTGAGGGTTTTAAAAAATAAAATAAAACAAAACAATGTGGAACCAATGAAGGAAAGAAGTATGCCTTTACCTAGGTCAATTTATGCAACATTTGATGCCAGCTGAGTGCCAGGCGTATGTATGCCACTCACTACAGAGGAACTCCTACTCTTCTTGGGGACACAGGCACAAACATGTGCCCAAAGACTGCATATAGAGGCAGAGTGAGGCAAGTGAGGTCAAATGTTTGGCAAACATTGGCACTTGGTCAGTGCCAGGTCTCATGTACTGCAAACAGTATTATTTAGCCCTGACCCCTCCTGCAAGGAGCTCACAGCGTAGAGCAGGCGGGAAGTATCTCCCATAGAGGCAGATCTCCCCAGGATAATGCCAAATCACAGCTGAATGATGGAGGCTCTGAGAACCAGGGGAGCCAGGGAGGGGAGAATTTAACTCCAGGATTCTGACCAACTTTGTGGATAAAGGAACATGGGTCTGAAAGGATGAGAAAGGGTGTCCCAGAGTTAGACACAGACTCTGCTTTGAGAGATAGGCATGACTATTCTCTCAGCTTCTCAAAAGTCAAGGAGGAGGTGAGACGCCCCTGGCCAGCTACTATTGCCTGGTTACTGTTCTCTGTGCTGTTCTGCCCTGCCCTATGTCCTACTGACAGCCTCACCTGGCCCCCTTGCCTCTGGCTTCCTCTGGGGTTGGGCCACTAAGAGCCACTGGCAGGAGATCAGAGGGAGGGAGGAGAGTGAAAGCAGGATATTCATTAGCCTCACCTCAGCGAGGCTTTGGCAGGTACTGTTTCTCCACCAAAAATCACGGCTCTTGTTTGATGTCCCCACTTTAATAGTTTTATGCACACCCTGCCCTTTCTTTCTCCTTCAGGCCCAGAGGTGGTGATGCTGCCATCTCAATGTCTCAAGCCCTAGGCTGCTTCACCAACTCTGCCCACACCCTACACTAACCCTCCTCTGGGTCGAGAGTGCTGGTTTCTTGCCAAAACCCGTGAAAGCTGAGGCCCTTAGAGGGAATTTGAGGAGAACCTCTAATTCCCCGCCTAAAATCAGAACCAAAAGAGTTGGGAACAGGTCAGAATCCCATCTCAGTGACCATGAGGGTCACTACTTTAGGCAAGACCCCAACCCAAGGGATCCCCCTTAGCGTCCATTACTCACATTACCACTCACTGTAATGTACAGCTGCCCAGCTGTGAGGCTGTACCTTGGGCATGTAGTGCTGCTAGTGGATTAGATAAATCCACTGCAAAAGATGGACCTCTTTAAAGTGGTAAAGGGCAATATGTCCCTTTAAAGACTAAGGTATCCTGGTCTACGCCATGGTATTTTCAATTACCTCATGTGCTTGTGTAAACTGGACAATCAGTAAGAAGGAAGAGTAAAGAAGAGCTCCTGCCTTTGAATTATGATGTTGGCAAATAATATTGAATATACCATGGGTGCCA